CAAATGGTCAGACTTTGCTTATTTCTGTAATCCCCAGGACCTAAAACAGTTCCTGTTGGTATTAAATATTCCACAAATATTTGTTGGATAAATGAATTTGTTGAATGAATACACCTCTTCCATAAAGATGCCATACTTGCTCATACCACTCGCTTTGCCTGTGCACAGAGATCTAGTAGATTTTCTCATCAAATGCGTGGGTCTGGCCATTAAAGGATGAAACAGGAGCTGGCAGCCAGAAAATTATCAATCATCTCATTCAAGTTCACACGGATGGGGAGTGACAAGCATGACCTGCTTAATAAGACCAGAACCTGTGTTAGCAATTTTACAAGTTCGTTGACCCCCCCACCCCCCACCACTACTACCAAAACCAGGACCTCAGATAAATAAAGAGAACCCTCAGTCTATCCAGCAACTATTCCTAAATCGCAGTGCAGGGGACTTATTTATTTACACCACAAGGCTCCTTTCCCCCACAATGAAGGATGGGTAAGTGCCCACCCTTACCACCAAACATCCTAAGGCCCCTCCCTCAGAAAGGAGAAACCACAGACCCAGAGGTTCTCAGCCACAGAGCCTTACTGCGCCCCAGCTGCTGTAAAGGGTGTCAGTCATTGCTTTCTAGTAATAAATAATTCATGAATGCTTTAGGCACCCCTTACACATTAACGTGGTCTCCAAGTCACCTCTGTGAGAATGCCGCCTCTCTCTCCTGCTTTCTCTGAGGCTTTCTTGACTAGAAGAAAGGAGAGTTAGCACAGCAGTGGCTGGGAATTATGCAGTCACACGTAGGCGCTCACACCCATGCTCATGCCTGTAAGAGCATGCCAGTTACAAATTTTTACAGTGTGGATAATGACGGTTCTGTGTGAATAACTCCACCCTTGTGGGTTGATTCTTTTTTATTTTGGTGCTCTTAGGCACAGTGAGGCAGGTGAGGCATTTGCCTCAATGCAGAATTTACAGAGACGGGGGTGCCAAAAATCTCAGTAATCAAGACAAATTGTGTATTTCAACACAATATACTAAAAAATCCAAATTAATCCAAAAAAGTCCATGATGAACACAATACCAAAATTTTAAAGGAAGGCTACTTACTAACTTCTCAGTTTTGGGCAAATTAGTAGTACCAAACCTCAGTTTCTTCAACCCAATAAATGGGAAAGGAATTATCAGTGTCTTTGTCCAGAGTTTGTAAGGATAATGTCAGATAATGTATTTAAAGTGCCTGAGGATGGACAGCACCCAGAAAAATGTAGATGTTATCATTCACAAGAATTTATTGAGCGGGTACACTGCAAATGACAAAATGTCTGTTTCTCAATCTTTTTTGCTGTTCCTGTTATTCTTCAGTGTCTATGAAGAGAGGTAATATTGACAGTTCTGTCAATGATATTTGCTATCCAAACCTCATCTTGCAAAAAAGCACGAGCAAATATTGACCAGTCCTCTGAGCTTTTAAGGCCACTCACACTTCGTGGCAGGACTAAGCCTCTGTTGTCTTCCTGTGGATTTCCATTCCTTCTCTTTCCCTGATTTCCATTTCCAAAGGACCAGTCTCAGGTGTTCTCATTCCAAAATTAAGACTGCTTCCCCAAGGGTATGGGAGGAGTAAGTGGACGGAGGTGGAGAGGAGTCACCTTTGCTGGCATGATAGGAATGTGCACCCTTTGGTTTCTCCTGTAGCTGTTGTCATGTTCCTTCTGCATGGATGGAGGGCAGAGGTTTTCAAACTGCAGCTTCCAACCCATTAGCGGATCATGAAATCCTTTTTCATGAAACCATGAGTGAATCATGAACTAAAAAATTGAAATTAGTACTAAAAAAAAAAAGTGTGCAATATTGGAGTATGCCATACATAAAAAGGATAAGAATTGTTTGTAAATCTTTTATTTCTGTTACATATATACATATGTGTGTACTGTGTCACGTAATTTTTTTACTGAGTCACAGTAAAATTATTTGAAAGCCACCAGGTACTGGTTAAGAGTTTGGGTGCAATGGTTGACTCCTTAGGTTTAAATCTTAACCATGCCATTTACTTGCAATGAGACCTTAGCAATTTATTTCTCTTCTCTGTGCCTTGATTTCCTCACACATAAAATGGATTCATAATAGTACCCACTGCAAAGAGTAGTTATGAAGATTAAATGATTTGATATATGTAATGCTTATAGAATAGTGCAGACACAGAGTAAGCTCAATAGAGGTTAGCTATCCCATTAATGTTATCATCAGGGGCACCTTTATATAATGTTTACAAAGTGTCTAATACGGTGCCTAAAACATAATGAGGGCTCAATAGTTGCTTGTCATTGTGGAAGAGATTTCTGGTGCTTACTATATTCAAGTATATTCCATTCTCCACTGCTTTCTGGCACACAGGGTGACATTTCCCCATCTCAGTGAAGATAGGCAGGGCTCCTCACTAGGTCTGGCTAACAGACTGTAGATGGAAATGATATTTTCAGGCCTGAGTAATTAATTTCTCATTTGAGAGACTTTCCAGTGCCATTCTGCTCTCCTGAGGCAAACTTTGAAGACTTGGGTTGGGACAACAGTGAAACAGTGTGGTGGTACCAGCAGCCTGGGACCTTGAGTGACTATGTGAAGTAGAGCCCACAGCCACCCCTCACCTCCACAGTGTTGAATCTGTAGCATGTAACCTTTGTGTGTGTGTTTGCTTACAACAGCTTTCTTGAGATAAAATCACATGCACAATATTAGTAAAGCAAACAATTTGGTGTTTTTCCACATATTCACAGAGTTATTCTATATTTCACAGGAACTTGAATGCCAGGCTAAGGAGTTTTAGTTTTATCCTATGGGGATTGGAATTAGTAGGAAAATGTATTAGTTGCAAAATGTATTGAATTAGTGAAATGATCTGACAAATGGATTTCTCCATTTCCTTTGGCTTCTTCCTAACTTTATATTCTACAAGCATTTAATCATTTAATCTTCATAACCACTCTGCAGTGGGTACAAAAAACGATATATTTTTCATGTTTATAATCATGTCGTAATTTTTTTCTATTTGAACCTTAGGATTGTTCAGATACTTTTCTCTATATCTATATTATCTTCAATTTTAATGGCTATATCTCATCTCCTGCTGTTGTTAGACATCTACAGTTTTATGTGTGTAGAACTGTTTTTCACACATGCACACACATACACAGGTGGCAAGTGAAGTGCCTAGGGTGTCAAATTTAGGAAGAGGTCCTCATTCAGGCGTGTAGTTTTGCACTTAGGTACCTCACTTTCTATCCTTAATCCCAACCCCATACCTATAGAGTGTGTGTGTGTGTGTTTCATTTAAATTATTCTCTCAGAATGAGATTACTGGCTGTCATGATGGCATTGCTGGTACACAGTACATTAGGATTCTTACTGCTCTTGATAGAAAGTACTGGCATATTTCTCAGGATTCTACTGCAGTTTTTTAAAAGCACAATTTTGGTATGTGCACAGTGACATTTTACAAATATTACAGAGGTAATGGGTCAGTTAGGAGACTATCCCAACAATACGTTCCCATTATAGTACTATTGTTGCTACATAAGATATATAGGTCTGACTTTTCACATTTGCATAACCCAGTCAGAACTCTAGAGAGATATACCTTCATAAAATCAGCTTCTAACAACAAAGCCCTTCATAGTAAGTCTGTGTCCCTAACAGATGACCCCTCTGTGTATACCAACTTGGTCATTCAAGGTATATCATTTTCCCAAGAGACCAGCCCATTGGACAATAACCTCTATGTCATGGATCTTCTGAATGAAAAGTGATGGGCTACTGCTGTTTTCAAATTAAAATCCTACTATTTGGGGACAAATAACATCAAAATTTGCCTACTAGCAATAGCTTTTCTAAAAGTTACATGGAAAAATATCTGGGCTGGTCCACTGTGTATAAATTTTTCCTAGGGGGCACATTTTAGAAGTCACTAATGGAAAATCCCCAGAATGAAGTTTAGAGAGGTCTAGTTCCTGAGTCATTCCTGGCAGATGTAGTTCCCAATCTTGCATAATTAGGGGAAAGATTGCAGGGTGATGGAGCAGAAACAGCAAGTTTGAGGTAGAATAGAGCATCATGTGTAGAGGTTATTGGAAAGAAACCAAAATCGTCTTTAAAGTTCTTCCAACTTTCCTTTGACTATCTTGGAAAACAGTGTGTCTTCCCACCTGCTAGTAGGGCTGATCACCTTATTATTCAGCACCTCTTAATTTGAAATACTTGAAGATACAATATTAAAGTTAACTTTTCTTTCGTGGGTTTCAACCTATTCACTCTCTTTAAGAGTTTTGCTAAATTACCATATCGGAACTTGCTGCTGGGATAGTCTTCTTTTCCAAAGACGGTCTTCTGTGTGTTCTAGATCAAGTTCATCGGGGCTTCCTCAAGAGATGCTCGCTTTTGGAGGAAGGCTTGCTGAACCACACAATGTGTACAGACACAGCTCTTATCTAGGCTGGGGAGCAAAGATCTCCCTAACCGGTTACACACAGGCTGGTCAAATCTCAAGAATGTGTTCTGCAACAGGATTACAAGCCATTTCTCTGGCAAGTACCTTTCTAAAAGCAAAGTGCACTAAACTATACTGTAGTCAGTATGATTCACACAAAATTAAGGACAGGACGTTTGTCAGATTCCAAAAAGCATCATAATTGGGCTTGGACAATAGACAAACATATCCTTCTGGACTCTTAAAAAAGGAATGAAACTAAAACTCCCTCCCGGTGCACTTATTTACAGAACCTCTGTTATCTTTTCGCTAGAGCATTCGTTTTTCCGCCAGCTGCAGCGGTTGCGGTCTTCTCCGCCGGGTAGGGGCGTGGACCAATGATCGCAGCCCAAAGTATCCGGACCCGCTAGGACCTAGCGGGAGAAGTGTCTTCGCGGAGCCGGGAAGCCGGCGGCGGCGTCTACAGCCGGGAGGATGGCAGCCAATCAGAAGCCGCCTTTGCGTAGCCGGGCGCCAATCGTACCCGCCGTCCCTGCGGCCGCAGTGGCTATTTAAAGGTTCGCTCCGCCGTCCCGCGTGTGGGTCTGTGGGCCGGGGTTTGCAGAGTTTGGCAGTTATGGCAAATCACATCGTGCTCTGCAACGGCACCAAGATGCCCATCGTGGGGCTGGGCACCTGGAAGGTAAGTGGGTGGCCTAGGGGATGTATCCCCGCGGTCGCGTCGGGCTCGGCGCGGCCTGGGGCGGGGAAGGACCTGGAGTGACCCTGGGCGGCCCCCGCCGCGGACGCCCCACCTCCGAGGTGCCACGGTCGTGCTGACCGGGCCCCCGGCGGAATCGGGCCTGCGGGCGGGGACCCGGACGCCCAGGCGGGCCACGGATGCGGGCCGGGCGCTGGCTGCCGTGCGGGGTGGGCGGGGCGGGGTGGCCTTGCGCCGGGGGCTTAGGAACTGCCCCCGGGAGGCCGCACTTCCGGACTCTCGGTGGGCCAGTTCCCCAGGCCGCTCTCTGAATTCGACACTTGCAGGAGAAGCACTGAAGGGGGCCGAAGGAAGGGGCCTGCCCGAGCCCCCGCCGCCCTGGCCCGTGTTTGGAAATCGGGAGGAGCCTGAGAGAGGGCACAGAAAGAGCTGTGGGGCGTTGAGCGCTGGCCTTCCGTTCCGCTCATCACCGCACTTGTTGCGCCTAAGCCCTTGTTTTTCTTCTGAATTTGTCCTTAATCGTTTCCGATTTTACCCTCTCAGGAATAAGCACCTCAAGGTGCGCCCGGATAATTAAATTAGGTGGCACGAGTTTGCCTAGGAACCGACTATTTCCAAGTCTCCGAACGCGCGTCGCTGAACACCTGCGCCTGGGCGTGCCTCCTGGGGGCGTCCTGTGTCAGGCAGAAATCCGCGGAGAATCTGGGCGCTCTGGATGGTGCCCAAGGAAGGTTAGCTCGCGTCGGTGTTAAAACTCTCTCCGGAAACCTTAACACCACTGAAACCTCTTAACAGCGCTCAAAAGAAATGGTTAGGAATAAAAAGGATAGACTGATTATCTGAAAATTAGGGAGCACCGAAGGGTGTCATTATGGGCATTGGGCCAAAACCCAGTATTTTTAAGCTGCTTGTAAGTCAGCTGTGGGGTATTATATATTGCATTCTGCAGATATAACCCAGGTTTTCCCAGGAACTTTGAAGGCGGTTCTGGACATTGGATATTTACACATGGACAAGGAAAGAAGAGACAGAGGATTGAGTGCCCCGTGAAATGGTTTGAAATAGAACAGAGGGTCGTGTTACATCTACCCTAAAATTTTGAGTTAATTAAGAGGGTGATTAAGGAAAGGGTTATAGGGTTGCCTTACACAGGTGTTTCTTGGCCAAAGTGATCAGAGTATATGTAATGTGTTTCTTTCAAAAAGTCCAGTGGTGGCTCTAAGGGTGTAATTTAATTATGACCGTGATACCCAATTAAATTCCATCTGTCTGTGGTTATCCTCTCGGAATGGATGTGAAAAGACACTTTCCTGGCAACAGCAGATTCCTTTCTGTAATAACACAGCACACAGACATAACAGACACAACTGGAATAAAAGTTCCACAAAATAATACCTAACCTTGCTAGGTGGGATGCATTCCACTATTTTTATCCTATTTTGTATATTCAGATATTATGGTGCCAATCTTAGGCCCATCTTTTGAAAATTATTGCTCTCGGGTAAATAAGGAGTAAAAGGTGATGAAGGTTTTTAATCATTCTCCTGATCAGAAGAAAATGTTCTGAGAAAGACTTCCTGTCACTTTCCCAAAGCAGGGCAGGCTTGGTAATGGCCCAAGATCCCAGGATGGGGGAGAGGGGACTGACTTCAGCCCTGACATTGGTGCTGAAGCAGTAGTGTGGCTTCTGTTCACCAGCCTCATCTCCCTGTGGACTGAAGCGCTGCTCTTGAAGGTCAAAGATATTTAAGTATAAGTCTTAGCCTGAGCAGGGCCACTCCTCGTCCATCAGGGTTTCAACCAAGTAGATACGTCAGCATCGTAGAATTCAAGGGGGAAGTGAGGAAGTTAATCTTGGTTTTATTAGTTGTTGTGTGTTGCTAAACCCAATTATGAGCTTTGATGTAAAACGGTAGCTGAATTGACTATGTTTTCATGTAACAAGGCAACAAAAAAGACCTTTCTTCAGTGGTCACCTCTTTATCATTTGAAATTGCAGTTTATGTTCTTAAACTGTAAAATAATTTGAGCATATTGAACATGAGCCAAGTGGGGTGGCTTTTCTGCTTCCAACAATGAGGAGCCCACTTTCTGACCATGGATAGGACTTGAAAGGTAGCACATTGTCCTCATTCTCTGGATTCTCCCAAGGCAGGATTCTAACAAGTGTGGCAGATTTTAAGCCTTGTTTATGCAAAGCTGTGAGGTCCTGGTCCCCCAGTTGTGCAGAATGAGAACACTGTAATCATAGAGCAAGCAGGCCCAGCCTGCTCACATTGACCTGCAGTTGATCAGGACTCTATTGTCATTTGGTTAATTTAGAGCAGGGGTGAAACCCTTTCCATCACAAAAATACCTTTGTTCATTATCAGGGTCCCTAATCTTTGTCATCAAGTTCCTGAACTGGAAACCAGAATGTTATTTGCGAATAGGAGTTAAGACAAATCAAGGCAGGACCTGTTCCTTAGTCTCCAAAGAAATTTGGTTACAAAGGGGTTATGCAGCCCACAGGCCTGCTTTTGATAATAAAGGTTTATTGGCACACATCCAACTGCTTTATATGTTGTTCATACACATCCACCTTCTTTATATGTTGTTCCTAAGGCTTTTGTGCCGCAGCAGCAGAGTTGAGCAGTTGGAAGAGACTGTCTCACAAACCCTAAAATGTTTTCTGTCTGGCCCCTTATGGAGGAAGTTTGCTAACCCCACTTTGAGAAGTTTCAGAGTCAATTAAAGGAACTGGAAATACATTTGAGAAGTTAGGTCATAAATGCCTATCTAATTCATGTGTGGCTGAAATGATTTACACTTACAATGAAAATACAAAATACAGGTGACGCCACTAGTCGTTAAAGTCAGTAAAAAATAGTAGGATTAGTTTCTCTTAACGCAGGGTGAGTTTTTCTGAGGAGAAGCTGATTTAATTGGAAGAGGTGAAACTATTTTTCAGTGACCGCTTTTCTGTGATGTATTTTTCAAGGCGTTAGAGGTTGAGGGCTCTATAAATCCGAGTTCACATCAGAAGCTGTGGTTTCTTGTTCCTTGTGCAGGATTGTCGTTGACACGCTGTTCTCACACTTCTTATACCCAGGATGGTTTTTCTTCCCAAAGTGAAGTTTCCTTTGTCTTCTCTCCTGCTAACTAGAGAAAATTTCAAAAACATCTGTCAGAAAGAACATGGTCCCCTCTTTCCAGAAATCTTCATGGTTAATTCTGCAAAGGATCCAGTTTCTGAGAACTTTGTTTTTGCCGTTTATAGTGTTTTATAACCTTTCTGTTTGAGCTATGGTTTTCTTTTTGACTTGCAGAGAGATAGAGAGGCAGATACTATCTTAAAGTAACTAGCAAGAGTTACAAGCAAAGGGGAAGCTGATGAGGTTTTAAAAGTGTGTGTGAGAAGAGAGAGACTAATAATTATCTGGGTTGATATTAGTTGGCCAGGAGTATTATAACATGAGGACATAGGGAACCCGTCTTGTGGAGGACTTCCCACCGCCATCACTTGGTGCCGTGGCCCCACAATGTAGTCAAGTTGCTGTTCCCCAGGCTAGAGCTGGAAGGTCCAAGAGGGTGGTCCATGGATGTGCCCAAGACACACACTGAGTTAGTGGTAGAATCAAATTCAAAACGTACAGTCTGTAGGATTTGTACAGTTTGTTCTTTTGTCTTCTGAGTGTTGTCATATACTGGTTTTCTGCAGATTGGCTGTTAGTTGTACAGAAGCACTTTTCATCATTTATCTTCTTTTCAAAGTCTGGACCACTCTCTTTGCATTTTTTAATGTGGACAGGGAATGGGAAGATGGTGTACTCATGTACTAGTATTCCCTAGTGTATTGAGTGATTTTTTTTTTTTTTCACCGTATCTTAAGTTGACTGCATCATTAGTGATAAGGGAAGTTAGCTTAGCCATTCTTGGAAGGGTTCTAGATTGAGACAGTTAATATTGAATGTAATCTGTAGTCTGTGCTACCTTTTCATCCCAGAGGTGACTTTTCCAAGCCCAGGGGACTTGTCCTCTCACTGACCAGTGTCTCCTTGCCTCTTGGGGTCCAGTCAAGAGGACAGATCTGTCAGCAGAGCATGGCAGTAAAGGTCTTTCTGCTAGGGCTTGAATCCTGACATCTCTTACTACCTGTGTGACCTCAGGCCAGTTTTATGTCTTTCCTTATCTATAGAGATAACAGTATCTATCAGAGTTGTGATGAAGAGTCAGTGCCATAATATAAAACCAGTAAAAACTGGTCCATAGTAAATGGGAGCTGCTGTTATTTTCAGTTTGAGCCATTGTGTGTCAGTTACCACTGACACTGGTGGGTTCTATTTAGTGACATGATCTGCCTAGGCACAAGCCTTCTGGTAACCAGCATGCCTGCTGCAGGGCCAGCCCAGGGAAGGGCCATTGCCTGCCCCCCACCCACCCACTACAGGACATGTGACTCCAGGCAGCCTTGCCCGCTACTGCAAAGATGCCTCCAAAACGGAAAGGTCAGCACCAACCTTTTCTGCAAGTCTTGTTATGAATTGCTACAACTTCTCAAATCTAATTTGTGAAATGCCCAACAGTCCTTGCTTCTGTTTTTCTTTTATCTTGAAAGCAGTTTGCTCCTCTTCCCTGCATGTCTGTCTGTAGCCAGTCAGCACTGTATCCAGGGAAGTTCAGGGCAGCAGGGTCTTCATGACCTCTTGGAGGTCATTTCTGCCCTTGGCTTTTCTGTAAGAACATCCTGTGAACTTTTGTGCCAATTTTTCAGCAACCCTGATTAACCTAGTTGTGCTCTTCTGGATCCAAGGAACCAAATAACCAACTTAATCTTAAGCAGAGAAAAAGTGTGTGTGAGGTAGAGATCATTGACCTACAGGATAACCTCAGGTGTACCAGTTCCAAGAATGTAAGCGGCATCACCAGGACAGTCTCTCAAGCCTCATCTGCCTCTCACCCCACTTTTTCTAGCAGCTGCTGGCTGCCAGGCCCGCAGCACAGCGACCCCGACAGAACTGAAAGCTTGTCTTTGGAGGGCCAACTGAAGTCCAGTGATTGGGTCTCATGGGCCTGGCTTGGCTCATGTCTCTGTCCCCGCACCAGTTGCTGTAACAGACACAGTGTGTGGCCAGGCCGGGCCTGGGGAACATGCCCACCCCTCTCTCTAGGGCTGTGGTTCTCTTCTCCACCCCGTTTCTTGAGCCTTGAAGGGTGGGCAAGGCTGCAGCTGCAGCTTCTTAGGTCCTCCAGAGAAGCAGGAGATGACAGATGCTCTGAAGATGTTTTTGACCTTATACCCGGGGGCAGTGCTGGCTCCCTCTCCCGCTGTGGTAGGGAGCAAGCGCCATGCTGACAGGCTCGCACCAAGTGCTTGTTCCCCGTGCTCCATGTGCTTCCCCTTCACCTGTTCACAGCAGCTGACGTCAAAATGGCAAATGTCTGCAGCTGCTGGTGGCCCTGGGAGTTTTCATTCTTTTCTACCCCAGCTCTCTAGAGGAATGCTGTGTATACATTCAGCAGTCCATTGCACATGTGTTTAGTTTTCACCCCTGCTCTGAGCAGGGGCAGTGAGGAGAAGGAGTAAGAGTCTATGCAGTCAGTCTGGGTGCTGGTGAATTAAGCTCAGCAGCTGAGCAGGCACTTCCTCCTCAATGGCCCGGCCTTCCCCTGCAGTGGTCACTCGGATGGTCAGATGGTCTGGGCATGGACAGCCACTCAGCCTCGGCAGTTCTGAGCACAAGCCATCTGGTGGTCTCCACTGTTCCCATCCCCCTCCTTTCAGCTCTTCTGTCTGCTGATACGGCTGAGGCACTGTCTCCTGTCTCTACCTGGTACAGCAGATTCTTGTACAGTGAGAATGGAAGCACAGGCCTTTGACTCTATTATCTGAAGTGTTCTTGACTTTATGAAATCTCCCAGAAACACTTAAACCCAAGTGATTGCCAGCATCAGAATCTGCATGAAAGGAGAAAGAGCAGAGGGTTTACTGACAGCTCAGAGACAAATGGGAGTTGGGTAAATATACAGCGACTTTTGAAGTATTTTGAGCTGTTTGAAGGGAATAGTATCCCTTATTGTCTGGGGCACCTAATAGATTCAGATAGTGGAGGATTTTCTTTATACAGTGGTTTATAAATCAATAGATATGAAGAAACAAGGAAATGAAGGCAGCTTTGGCACCTTTTAAAGTGATTTGTGGTGCTTTTAAGTCATTGACAGACTATCCTGAAATGCAGCAATGCGCCGTTTCACCTCGGTTCCCCAGCAGCATCTGAGCACAGGTCATTGGGAAGGCTATCCTGGGTCTCCATAGCTGGCCGGGAAGAACGGAGCTTCAGCAAGGAGCAGTGGGTGCGCACTGCCCTCGTCCCTGGGTCGTGTACAGTCTGTGGGGTTTGTTTCATTTCAACTCTCCTTCTATTCCTTTTCCTTTCAGTCCCCTCCAGGCAAAGTGACAGAGGCTGTGAAGGTTGCCATTAACCTTGGGTACCGCCACTTTGACTGCGCCCATGTGTATCAGAACGAGAACGAGGTGGGGGTGGCCATCCAGGAGAAGCTCAAGGAGCAGGTGGTGAAGCGTGAGGAGCTCTTCATTGTCAGCAAGGTGCCACTCTGCAGGGGGACCTGGGGGATGGGCTTCTGGTTCACATTTATCCAGTGATGGCATCACTCTAGGAGCCAAGGCTATAGTCTGGGGCCTCCTAATACACTACAGTACCATTGAGGGCCCTAGAGCTCACCTGTCCGTGCTGGCTGTTGGAGGTTCGTTCTCTCTGGACCCATGCGTTAGAGCCCCTTGCGGTTGAGGCTGTGGGGTTGGTGCTCCCTTTCCAGGGAGTTGTCTTTGAGGATGGAACTGGGTTCCCATCTGCAGACTGGATCTTCTCTGCTGCCCACCATCTTTTATCTGGAGGCTCTTGGTGCCCAAAGGACACCGGGTAGGGGGCTGAAACTGGCTCCGTGAAGACCAGCCTAGTAGGAAAAGAGCTTCGAGAACTCATCCTCAGGGCTTAGGGCTGACTTGCTAACGGGTCCATTCTATTTTTTGCCTTCAGTGTTACCCTTCTGAGAGGATTTCTTGACTTGGTTAGCCTACCTTTCTTTGGAAAGTTAGGATCCACTGTGTGAAATGGAAACTTCCTCACCACTATTGAGGGCATCATGGAGAAGTGGGTGGGTTGTGGGAAGAAGAAAGTGAGTCCTCTGTCGGTGAGCCCTCTGGCTCCTGGCCAGGAAGCAGCCTCCTGCGTGGCGGTGGTAAGGTGGGTTTTCTCACTGCCTCAGCTGTGGTGCACACACCATGAGAAAAACCTGGTGAGAGGAGCCTGCCAGAAGACACTCGGCGACCTGAAGCTGGACTACCTCGACCTCTACCTCATCCACTGGCCAACGGGCTTTAAGGTATGGGCGCAGGGCTCGGACAAGATCCCCGTGGCTGATGTGTAGCCTGTGGTGAGTCGCGCCCTCCTTTGTTAGCAGGTTAAGGGTGGGCCCGTGCTCGGGGTGCGGTGCCTGGACGAGCAGCAGTGGCATTCCTTGGGAACTTGTTAGACACCAGCCCCAGGCCGCACCCGGGCCTTCTGACTCTGAGCCTCAGGTGACTCTGTACCGTTACAGAGATTGAGGAGCGCTGCTCTTCACTGGGGTCGTCAGCTCTGGCGCTCCCCTCTGCCTCAGGCACATGAATACATGCACATCCATGCCCTGCACATATGTGTGCATGTATACTCCCATTCCACACACAAGCCCGATCCTGTAGAAGCTCAATAAATATTTCTTGGCAGCCTGATTCTTTGCACAGAAAGAACTCTAGAGGTATTACATCATTTGCCTTCTTTCTAGCCATAGGCCCAGTTTTCTGTTTTGTCAACCAGATTGGAAATACAGGGATTTTACCCCATAGCTCTGTCTTGTTGCGCTGTGGTGTGTCTGAGCCTGACTTTCATCTCTTGGTTTTCATGATAAGCCAATGAGTCTCAACAGGGTGATAGTTTTGTAGGCTAGTGACCCAGCCAGGATATGGGCCCCACTAGTCCTGGCTGTGAGTCCTTCCCCTGTCCACACACGTGTCCATGGCAGGGCTCATCTCACTGAGACTTATCCGTCTCCATCTGACCATCAGCTCCAACCCATTTGATAGAAAAAAATGTCTGGGGCTTCAGGAGTTGTTGGCCCATTTCTTTTTCACACACACATATGTTCTTGATGATCTTCAATTTGATTGATGAAATCTTCAGCTGCTGTGGGAGTTGAGGATGATCTTTTTAGAACTTCACTTTCAAAGGTGCAGCTCCCCAGCAGGTCTGTGAAAGGCTGTTATTGATTGATTGATGTTTTTTTTACTGCAACAACAGCACGGGAAGGAATTTTTCCCGTTGGATGGGGAAGGCAGCATCATTCCCAGTGAGACCAGTTTTGTGGACACATGGGAGGTAAGGTGGTCCTGACCGGGCCTTCTTTGCTGGTTTCCCTGTTCACTTTGTTAGTGGACCAGGTATGAGTGATCTGTTCTGCTATTTCTTTCGCTGCATTTTGTTATTCTGTCACTGTTCTTGCTCTGCCTGTCTCATTTAAGTCAGCCTGGCCTTGGTCTTGGTGTGTCTCAGCTTCTGCAGGGTCTAATTTGCTGGCAGTGAGTAGCACGGGCAGGATCTATTAAACTGATGCAAAAGGTGCTTTTCTGATCCTGTCCTTGGGGCACATGTCAGCAGTCAGCAGACTCTCTTTACCTTTAGGCCATGGAAGAGCTGGTGGATGAGGGGCTGGTGAGAGCTATTGGAGTCTCCAATTTCAACCATCTCCAAATCGAGAAGATCTTAAACAAACCTGGCTTAAAATATAAGCCAGTGGTTAACCAGGTAAACATGCAGCAGGGAACCTGGCGTGCATGGGAGACTGTTTTGCTCCTTTCTCATCCTGGTAGCTCTGGTCCACATCACCCGGGGAGCACCCTTGGCACTGGGAGAGTCCTGATGGACAGTTCAGAATAATGAGGGCAAGACTTGCATGAGAGAGAAAGGGTTTGAGTCTGGCTTGTGACGTCTGAGGTCTCACTGATGAGCAGCATGCAGGCATTGAGATCCTGAGACCCGTCACAGTTGATAAATGACCACAGCCAGAAAAAACCCTTAGGGCCTATGGCCACAGCACATCAGTAACAAGATTACTGTTGTCAGGTCACTCCTGGGACACATACTCTTGTTATAGCTTATCTGGGAGATAGGACATGGGTTAGACAGGATTTTCTGTCTGAAGGGCAGGAGTGAGGGGAGGGACCTAGTATGTTCCGTGCCCCATGCCCCGTTGTCAGCCTTCTGATTTGCATTTGCAGATTGAGGTCCACCCATATCTCACTCAGGAGAAGTTGATCCAGTATTGCCAGTCCAAAGGCATTGTGGTGACTGCCTACAGTCCTCTCGGCTCTCCTGACAGGCCCTGGTGAGTTCCCGTGGGATCACATTCCCTTGTCACTTGGTAAAGATTAGAAATGGCTAAAAAGAAAAATCCAGAATTGAGAGAAATGCATCTGGAGCTAATTTGCAGATCTTCCGAGGAGACTCTTGTTGGGTTTCCTGATTCTCTAGTATCAGGATGCTGCTCCCAAAGGGTTGGGAGGCTGACCAAGCTTCAAACCAGGAGGAGACTGGCAGGTTGCTCCCGAGGCCGGTGGGAGTAGGGATGCCGGCTGCCTTGAGTGGTGGTGATGGTGGTTGCTCACATGGGCCATCTTTCTGCCTCCAGGGCAAAGCCTGATGACCCTTCCCTGCTGGAGGAACCCAAGATCAAAGCGATCGCAGTCAAGCATAATAAAACCACAGCCCAGGTACAGCCATCTCCAGGCGCTCGTGACTGTTCACAGAACTTTGTGTCCCTGGCGGTCTCCTTTAGCCAGGAGGGATGAGTAACCCAGCCCAGTCCTGAGGCCCCCCTCCTTGCCCATTCCCCCCAGCCTGCCTCCCACCACACCAGAAGTATGCTGGGATTCCTGGAGTGTGCAGTAGAAGGGGCCCAGGCTGAAAGTTAGAAGGCTGACGTGTGGTCTGGGGATAATAGAACCTGCCACAGGTCACCATTTGCTAACGCAGGTAGAAGCTCACCTCTATGCTCAGAGAGAAGCAGTCATTATTAGCCGCCTTCTCTCAGGTGGCAGGGTGAGTTCCTAGGCATTGGAGAGTCTCCTTGTGACTCGTACACCCGGGAGGCACACGGAAGCCCCGGGTTGGGGGTGGGGCGTGGAGAGCAGGACTGTGGGGTCAGACCTCAAGTGTCAGCCTTTCCCTTCATTGGTGTGACCCTAACATCTCTGTGCCTCAGTTTCCTCATGTGAAGTTCCAGAGTCTCCCTCTTTGGGAGGTGGCTGTGTGGGAGTAGGTGAGAGGGTAAGGTAGATTACTGGACACACCTGTTCACAGGTGCTGATCCGGTTTGCTGTGCAGAGGAATTTGGTTGTAATACCCAAGTCTGTGACACCAGAACGCATTGCTAAGAACTTCCAGGTGAGTCCCAGCTGGGCAGCCCACGTGGGGGTGGGGGGGCTTCTCATCCCAGCCCTGGATTGTCATGTGTGAAACCCCCACCCTCCCATCACCTCTCAGTCAGGGAGCCGACCTGAATCACCAGCAGCAACATACCTGCCATACACGCACACACTGTGCGGAGGCTTCTCAGTGACTCCGCATTTGCCCTGAGGAACATTGCTCTCAAGCAACACTGCTGAGCTTTGCACTGGGGCTCCATTAGTTGCCTTGCCTCAGTTTCCCCCTCTGTGAAATAGTACCTATCTTTAGTGTCATAAAGATAAGATGCAAAAGAGGACTTCACATGATGCTTGGACTCTTCGCAAGTACTCAGGAAATGCTGCTCTGCCAAGTCCGTGGACTGCAGAGACCCTACTGGCCATCAGCCTACCCGCTGCCTCTACCAAGACCTCCCCTAGCAACAGGCAGAGCCTTAGGACTGTGTTGGGGCACACGTGAGGTGTTCTGTTTGGGCCCTCGGAGCACCTGCGAGAGCGGGTTAGACTGCCTGGCCTCATGCCCTTTGTTGGGGTCCGGGGTTGCTGTTGAGGTCTTGGGGCAATGCGAAGAGCAAAGAAGGCAGCGGGAGCACCCCCATGGAGGGTACTCACAAGAAGCCACTTTATTCTGCACAAAGCTGTACTTTTTATACTGCTATAGTGCTGATTCATGGTTACATAAGTATTGGAGACACACGTGCGTGTGGCCTTCACAACCAGGTGTCCTGCCTTCGAGGCCCTTATCTAGCTCTTTACTCGTGGGTACAACACGCCGTGTTTTCAGGGTTTGCCAAGGTCAGACATATTTGGGGTGAAGTAGCGGACAGCTGTCCTCATAGAACAGTGGGGAAAGTGGGGTGGGGGGGCCTTCCCTACATCCTTTCCTGCCTCTCGCCCCAGGGGTGGGGTTCCATGCTGGGAGAAGTGCTCTTGGGCTGCGATGCCCATGCTCCTCTGCTCACTGCGGAAGGCAGCTGTGCCGGGACCCGCCCTCTTCCCCTAAGATCTTGTTTTCCTCAGTGAACAGCTCATTTTGCTTGTCCTACTGGCTGCCATCTGTGTGTATAACATGCCACTCCCGGGTCACCGGGGAAACTGGCCAGCCCTGGGAGGGGAGGGGGCTCACTCTATAGTAGGGGGGACAATTTTCTTCTTCTGTACAGAAGTTTTAACTATTGAAGGTGAAGTAGTAAGACAATGACCACTATGGGAAATACGTATCCTGTTAGAAATGGATCCTTTATTTCATATTTCATTTTTCAGGGAATTAGAAAATAAACATTTTTTTTTTTTGAGAGGGCATCTCTCATATTTATTGATCAAATGGTTGTTAACAACAAGAAAATTCTGTATAGGGGAGTTATTAATCCATCTCAAGCCTAATTCTTGTCAGTCTCCAATCTTCTGAAGCATAAAGAACAAGTTCTTATATAGTGAATAAGTTCTTACATGGTGAACAGTACAAGGGCAGTCATTACAGAAACTTTCGGTTTTGATCGCACATTATGAACTATAAACAATCAGGTCAAATATGGATATTTGTTTGATTTTTATACTTGATTTATATGTGGATCCCACATTTCTCCCTTTATTATTTTTATTTTTAATAAAATGCTGAAGTGGTAGGTAGATACAAGATAAAGGCAGAAAACATAGTTTAGTGTTGTAAGAGAGCAATTGTAGATGATCAGGTGTGTGCCTATAGACTATGTGCTAATTCAAGCTAGACAAGGGCATTAAAACATCCACGGATGCAGAAGAAAAGAAACATTTTTAAATGACTAATCTCATAGTGGTAACATAGTCATTTGACCTTTGCGTATGAGTGTGTAGGCTTCGCACATTTTCCCACGGTTGTTGTAAGCATAGAGTAGGCACAACCTGTGGCATCTGGCCCAGGGCCAGCCCCTCCCAGGCTCACCTGGTGCTGCTTCAGGCCTCTGCCCTCCGCCGAGTTCTTCCCAGACCGTAGTCTTCATGCAAATGGCTCTCCTCCCAATAGACCTTTTTTGCCCTCTCTGTCAAGGCCCTATTTGGCATAGGCCCCTCTCAGGCACCATCCCTCAGTTCCCCAGCTGGGATTCATCCCCAATTCCTATGGACACCCAGTTGCTTCGTGGAGTGTCTTGCATTACCTCTCCTTTGCTTTGCTGTGAATGGAGGCGTGGACACTTCTGATCCATACTAATCCCCACTGGTGCCTCTCACAATACAGGTGCTCAGCAGTGGTTTTGAAATGAACTAAATGGACTAAAAAGTATGATTTTGCTGGGAGTTTCTGGAAGGGAAGGACTCTTGTTTTTTCCTATAGTACTCAGCCAAAGCAGCCCATTCTCTGAGCAGCAATACAGTAAATTTTCTCTTGAGTTCAGTCAGCCTTACCACCCCCCTCCCCACGCAGGGCAACTTCTCATCAGTGATCCTGTGCAGAACTGTTTGCAAACCTTGATATTCTGTGTCTGATCTTTACTTGAAGATCTTACTGGAATTTTTTTTTTTTTTTTTTAGATCTTTGACTTTGAACTGAGCAGCGAGGAGATGACGACCTTACTCAGCTATAACAGGAACTGGAGAGTCTGTGCCTTGATGAGGTGAGTGGCTCCCGGGTGTGACGCTTGTGTCCCGGGAGGGTATGTGATGCTGCAGAACAAGAGCATTGCTTCAAGGCCCTGCCGTTCTCGTCTTGTTACCACAGAGGTTCTGACTTTGCACATACCCTCGCTTTTCTCACCCACACGCAGCAGGAAACATTTAAACCTGCACCAGCTGAACTTCACACAGCCACAGGGAAAATGCCAGGGGACCCGCTCTAGATATGTCCCCCTGCAGCCTCCAACCTCCGGGTGCACCATTGGCCTAACCTGCAGTGACTACATGTTGCGGCATTTAGTTTTCAAATCTTAGTGGCTCGTCTGAAACCAGATGATCCCAGGTGGCTCCTGTCCCGCCCTCCTGGAATAATTTATGTGTAACTCTACCTTATAATGACTAATAAGAAGAGTAGGAGGACCATGGCTTGGGGCTCTGACACGGAGAAGCTACATGACTGAGAAAATCACCCAACCCCCCCGAGAGCAGAGCCCCTGAGGCCCCTCCAGCTGCACATGCACTGGGTCCTTGAATCCCCTCTGACGCGTAGTTTGGGATCTGAGGGAGATGACAGAAGGTTTGTTCTCGTCTTTTCCTACTCAGCACCTGTGTGTCACATGTACTGACTGTTTAACATCTCTTACGTTATTTTCATCTTCTTACTATTGAAGATGATAGGATGCTGTCTGAGCCTGCCAGTGAGACTGAGTTACCAGGAGGCAGGAATCTTGTCTCGCTGCCTGTATGCCCTGGGCACACAGGGAGAGTGGCATCTGTCACACACATGCCTGTTGATGAGAGCCCAGGCCGGAGGGTTCTGGACGGCGGGCCGACCCAAGTGCAGACCCATGAACTGCAGTCTCAGAACTGGCTCGGTGCCCCCGAGGCCTCTGTTCCTGCCTATAATAAGACTCACTATTTCTGTCTTTTTGTAGTTGGTATGGTTGAAATCTCCTCTTGAAACAGCTAACGTGTTCTTCCTCTCTCCTTGCAGCTGTGCCTCCCACAAGGATTATCCCTTCAAGGAAGAGTTCTGAGGCTGTGGGTCCCTCTCTCTCCAGGTGACCTGTTCCAGCCTCATTTTTCCCGTGTGTAGCGTAGTACAGCCTGTGTCCCTTGGTACTGGGTCAGCAACCTGCCTGTGAACCCAGCGAGGGCACGGTCAGTGTGCAGTTGGGTCCAGAGAGTGCTATTAGTAGATTAGAAGTCTCCTCTGCTTTTCTTTGCCCTTGTCCAGCTGGGGAAATTACAACCTCAGTACCCTCTTCTGACTAAGTTAAAACTACAATCAGAATAGTGTCACTAACAATTGGATTTTGGCTGCTTAGAACTGTAATCCTTTCAGCCAGACTTCTTGCTTCAAATAAGAAGTGCTTTTGTGAACCTGATGCTGTTCGATTTTTTTTGTTCAAACAATACGCCACCTCCTGTCTGCTGCAGCTGTCATCTCAGATACCCATAAAGCAGGCCACCTCCCCTGGACCACAGGAACAAGTACAGGATGTCTTCCTTTTTATTTGGGGGGTCCTTACCACAGTACTCTACCCATTTAAGGTGGTGGGTCTCATCTGGCTGCACATTGGAGCTGCCTAGGGAGCTTTAAATGCTAGATGCCTGGACCTCACTCCTGGAGACCCATCTGTTTGGTCCAGGGTGTACCCAGGCCATCAAGAGTTTGCAAGCCCCCAGGTGATTCTGTAGCTCAGCCAAGGCTGAGAGCCACAGCTTTAGGGCTGAGCCAGGACAAAAACCCATTTTCAGTGTCACAGATTGGCCTTTCCCTGTGAAGGACAAAGTCATACGTTTACCAAGGCCGCACCACTCACAAGGAACTGCTTTCATGAAGCTCATTATCTAAACCAGAGGGAAGAAAAGTATCCATTAGTGGCATCTGTGTTAGCTCAGTGTGCCGTAACAAAATACTGCGGCCTGGGCGGTGTTACCGAGTTTATTTCTCGCAATTCTTGAGGCTGGAAGTCAGAGATGAGGGGGCCAGCAGGGTCTAGTTCTGGTTAGAGCCTTCTCCCTAGCTTGTAGACAGCCTTCTCACTATGTCTTCACATGACGAGGTGGGGGGGAGAAAACGAATGCTTAACCGAGTTATAAAAGCACAAGGCCTTTTGTTTTGACTTTTACAAATGCTCTTGCTTATTTTTATGAGTAACGTTTCCTTGTCCAGAATTAAATTGACAAATGCCAGCAAAGGGATGAGATGGACAAGTGTTGCCCTCAAATTTCATAGTTTTTTATTTTGCTGCTGACCTTACTGGGTGAATATAGCCCCTAGTATAAGGTGGCATTAACTGTTTTGCACAATTATCCAGGTATAAAATGCACCCCCAAGGGTTTAGTTAATCGGGTAACAGGACGCCGAGCCCTGTCTAGGGATGAAGAGCACCCGGCCCCTGAGTGGCTGGGGTTGAGCCAGGTCGGGGACCCAGAGCCCCAGCTGCTCACCACCTGCAGCCCTGGGCCCGAGCCCCTCTCTTCCTGGCACCTGCTTGCCACGGTTGGCCCTGCGGGCTGCACCTTACCCCAGGTTAAACAGCAGACCTGTTCAGTCATCCTCTAAATCATCGGGAGTGCACTATCGTTTCATTCTAAGTGTGCCACATCATCTCTGACCTAGATCCCAGCCCTGGGTCTCCAGTTGGTCAATAATTGGCTTAAACACTAGAAAAACTGAGGTAACCACTAGTAAGTTTTTTATTAGATGCTTGCCTAATAGATCCCTTCTTAAGAATACTGTCAAAACAAGGCAATTTCAAAGTCATTCAGGTGTGTGAACCACTGAAGAGGCTCTCTGCCCTCTTCCCTTCTTTCTAGCAGAGACTCATTAAATCTAAGTAAACAGGTCCCTGAGCAGGAGCCCTGCCTGGGGAGGCAGCGGAGGAGAACCAAGGCCCGTCACAGACTGAGTCTGAACTTTGAATGTTAAATAGGGGTGTGGGCGGCAGGCAGAGCTGTTGGGGCAGGTGTGGCTTGGTGCTGCAGTGGCCTTGGGGCGGCCGGCTTCCTTCCACCACTAACAACTGATGCAGGGTGGGACAGAGGTGCCAGGGCATCTCACAGATGGGGGCCGCTTTCCCAGTGGAGAGCCCCTCTCTACCCTTTATGGAACGGACCCCCTGATCTTCCTGGACAGGTTCCAGCCCAGCCTCAGGACTCTGGTGGGCTCACTGTCATAAGGGACGTGATCCTCCAGGGGACCAAGTCCATAGGAGTCACAGGACAATAGTGCTGGCCCCATCTTTTGAGGAACGTTGTTGGGAGTCTCAAAATATATTCATGAAACAGTTTTAGTTTTACTGAGTCCAAGTTGCAGCCACAGAGTAGAATTGTTAAGATGAGACCATCTGAAAGAACTGTTTGACTGAATTGCATTGGGTGACTTAAGACCTGTGCTTGAAAATCTGAACAATGGTAGGACACCTGTGATGTCAAACAGCGTGGTTTCTCAAGGTCCAGTTTCACAGGGCAAGGTTTCTCTACACTGTCATCCTTCATGTTGATAGAGATCCTGAACAAACTTGTGGTGCAGCATTGAAAGTGCTGGGGAATGGAAGCAGCCGTTCCAGGCCTGCATGGTGCTTGCCGGCAGAACCCTGCGAGGCGCCCACCCAGGAGAAGCACAGTCAGGGTTGGGTCCAGCCCAGGAAGGCTGCCGAGAGAGACTGCAGAGATTGTCCAGGGTGGGGTGCGGGGTGGTTCATGGCTCCCTAGCATCCAGCTGCAGGTCACACCTTGTCTTTCTGTCCCTTTAAAGTTTTTTGTAGTTCTGCTGAAAGGAAGACTGTGGTCTCCAGGATTCTGAATAAACCCTCCCTCCCTCACTCTCTCCCTGCTTGGCCACAGCAGGCCCTCAGTAATTTCAGTCCCATGAATGAGTGAGTGAATGAATGAAGGGTTTCCTTATACAACAGCTAGCTATTAAAGCATTCTAGTGAGAAATCTGTGTATTTCAGACCCCAGAGTGGCTGCTCAGTACTGAATAGTGGCCTAAAATACACAAAAGAGTGGCAGAGGGTTCTGCTTACAGACTGAATCTTCATTGCGACTCCATTCTGAATCTATGACTCCGGCAAATCAGTCTGCCAGCTTCCACTTCCCCAGCCTACTGAATGCCTGCCTCCTAATGGTCATGAGGATTAAATGAGATAAAGGCTTATCCCAGGCCTTGCACAGAGCACTCAGTACATGCTAGCCATTCTTACTGATATAGTTAATACCATCATTATTATTCTAATCAAATGTTGGCAACAGAAGCAAATACAAGTGTGGCTCCCAGCTTGCAGACGGTGCCCAGAGTGGAGCTGTGCCCGGAGAGGGGTTCTGTCTGCAGGAGCAGGGCTTTCTCCATGTGCTGGACTCTGTCCAACCATGTGCCCAGGAAGGGCAGCTCCTAAAACATTTTTCAGTGAGCCGCTCACTGTGGGCTTTTGTTTCCAACCTTAAGGATTGTGCTTTCTGGCAGGAAGAGTGAGCCTTGAAGTAAATGCAGCCCGTGTGTTGGTAAGGAGTATTTTTTCATGTGATACATCATTGAGTGTTAGAGGTCATCTGATCCAATGTTTCTGTAACCCAGTGTTTCCCAATTTATCTTGGGCAGCAGACTCCTTTCCCATAAAGAAGTCCTTCGTGAATCCTCAATATGGAAGCCAGATAAAGGCCAGAGCTGCTGTGGTTTCAGTCGGGGAGGAGTCTGGGAACCAAACCAGTCAGTATCCCCCTGCACACAACCCCTCACCCATGAGGGCCCTGGAACATAGTTGCAAAGCATGGGAGACAGCCCTTTGTATTTTATTTTTGCTTGTTTGTTTTTTGCAACTGTAAACATTTCTTTCATGCCATTGCTGGAGTTCAGGAGCTCTGAAGTGGCTTGGCTGGGTGGTTCTGAGTGGGGGTGGGGTCTCTCGTGAGGTGGCAGTAAATACCAGGGCTGGGACTGCATCAGGTGAAGGCTTCCGTGGTAGAGGACCTGTCTGAGAGGGCGCCCTCGGTCACCGGGGGCCTCAGTTCCTCTCCCCCTGTACCTTTCCATAAAGCTGCTGGAGCGGTCATGGCACGGTGACTGACTCCCAGAGTGAGTGGTCCAGGAGAGCGCAAAGTGAGAGCTGCACTGTCTTCTGTTATCTAACTTCAGAAGTCACACAGCATCATTTCCACAAAAGTTCAACACTGTTTACTGGACGCTGGAGACTGGCTACCACAATTTGCAAACCTAGAACTATATCTTGTTGGGAAAGCATTTCAGAAACAATGATAAACACGCAAACCATATTTTAAGAGACTATCTGTTCAGGTGGGTGTGCCCATCCAAGCAACCCTGTGGTTTTACAACAAACAGGATCAGAGGTGAAGTGACCAGCCAAAGCTCACACAGCAATTAGTGACAGAAATGCATTACATCATAATAGTATTACCATGATATTCCATTGTAATAAAAATTAAAGACAGCTTACCCACATTTACAGCCTTATCACCAGGTGATCCTGGTTACATTAATGATAGGTCATGTTGATAATGCACGCTCTTAATGTGATGTGATGGGAACAGCCCTTTACCCCTATGATCCTCCACCCCAAAGCTAAAGACCCCACTCATGAGAAACACAGACAAATTAGAATTGAGGGTCTTTCTACAAAATATCTGACCAGTGCTAATACTACTCAAAACAATTGTGAAAAACAGAAAAAGCATAAGCAGCTGTCACAACAAAGAGGAGCCTGGGAACATGATGGCAAAATGTGTGGGGTCCTGGGATAGGAAAAAGGATTTGGGGTAAAAACTAAGGAAATTGGAATAAAATATGGTCTCTATACTATAATTTATTCATATTGGTTCACTAATTATGCCAAATGTGCCTAATTAATGTAATATGGTAATAATGGGAAACTAGGTGTAGAGTATATGGGAACTCTGTACTATCTTCAAAATTTTTCTGTAAATCTAAAACTCTTCAAAAATAAGATGCCTATTCAGCAAAGGCAGTTCTAAGAGGACAGTATATAGCAATCCAGGCCTATTTAAAGAAGGAAGAACAATCCCAAATGAATTGTCTAAATTCACAATTATTGAAACAAATGAGAACAAATGAGGCCCATAGTCAGCAGAAGGAGGAACATAATAAAGATCAGAGAAGAAATAAAATTGAGAAAAATAAAAGAATAGAAAAAATCAATGAAACCAAGAGATGATTCTTTGAGAAAATAAACAAAATAGATAAACCCCTAGCCAGACTTATCAAGAAAAAAGAGTACACAAACATAAACAGAATCAGAAATGAGAAAGGAAAAATCATGATGGACACCACAGAAATACAAAGAATTATTTAAAAATACTATGAATATCTATAGGCTAAAAAACTTGATAACCTAGAAGAAATGGA